GTCGCTCTGAAAAAGCTGTGCCAGCTGAGTCAGCCGGCTGCTCTCAAAACGCTCTCGCGGTACTTTGATGCCACATGTGACAGTGACGTAGCGTCGGCGCCGGTTCAAGTCGGACAAAATTTCTAACCGGCATGCGCTGCTTCAAGTCAGCCACCGATCGGTTTGCGCGGCGCCACATGAAGTTGAACGCACCTATAAACTGTAAAAAAAGATGGACGACGCATCTCCACTTCCTTCCACTATAGAAAGTGAAGCCAAAGCATCTCAGTATGGCCGCTGCCATCTTGAGTAAATGGCGTCATTTGGAGCCAGAGTCTGCGCAGTAGAGATTCGTTTGGAGCCAAAGTCTATGGAGTAGAGATTCGTTTGGAGCCAGAGTCTGCACAGTAGAGATTCGTTTGGAGCCAGTGTCTGCGCAGTAGAGATTCGTTTGGAGCCAAAGTCTGCGGAGTAGAGATTCGTTTGGAGCCAGAGTCTGCGCAGTAGAGATTCATTTGGAGCCAGAGTCTGCGCAGTAGTGTCGTGAGGTGGAGCCGCGGTATCAAACTCCCGCAGACCCAATCAATCATAACGACACGCCCCGTTTTTAATAGCATAATTCATCTGATCACAAAAACAAACAATTGAACATACATCAGCGTGATAACAACTACCTTAAATGACCAAAACTATCTTTCGGAAAATTTAATTGGAAGTGTAATTTTTTTTGACTCAAGTCCCAATCGTTTACATGGAGAGGGCAGGGTTTATGACCTGTACTGCAGCCAGCCACCAGGGGGCGATCAAAGAGCCCGCAGCTTCACTTTTCACGACGTGTGAGGCACACCCGGCTCAACAGATATGCTCTGTTCAGCAGGCGGCAGAGAGGAGCAGCACTTTCAGTTAAAATAGATATGTTTTTTACATGCAATAGCCGAAAACACGGCACAGGAATGATCTTTGTCTTTGCTTATGTTATGTGTATTTGATTTCATCAGACGACGGCTCGATTATAAATCAGGATTTTTGTGCAGATTAACATCTTGGAAGGGAGAGCTGGTTATTTAGTCTTAAAGGGCCATATTTCAGTCACTATTTTATATTCATCCCGTTAACTGACAACAGAAACAGTAAATTATATAAATGAAAACCGTTTTATTGAGAATTTGGCTAAATTAAAATACAGTATGTGATCACAGAGAGGCAAACCAATGTAAAAGGCAATATGATGCGAAGATGTAATGAATATGCTAATATCTTGCGACATTTAGCGACTTTTCAAACTGGATTTAGCTACTTTCCATTGAAAGAAGTTGGCAACACTGCACAGAAGCACATGGGGGCGTTTGAGAGCCGCGTCTACCATCAGATCTGTCAGAGGATGCCTAATATATCTGCTCATAGACACATACACATATCTGCATGATAGACACGGCTCTCAAATGCTCCCGTGTGCTTCTGTGTAAGCACTCGGCAAAGAGCATGAAGCTATGATTTTATGAAATGTGAGGGAAACTTGATTTTCCCTGGTTGTTGTTTTAGTATATATTAAGCTGCATCAATAGTTTTCACGTGCTTTTCCACTCCACTGCACTACAATTTGCACTCACTTCTCGCGTTTTTTGCAGTATCCCGAGCATGACACGCCATTCTAAAAGTGGGCAAGTACTGCTCACAGGCACTCAAATTAAGAAGTG